CTTTAGTCTGTGTGTGTGTGTGCGTGCATGCGTGCGTGTGTGTGTGTGTGTGTGTGTGTGCGCGTGTGCGTGCGTTTGTGTGCGTGCGCTTGAACTCAGGACCTGTCCCTGAGCTTTTTTTTGCTCAAGGCTAGCACTCTACCACTTGAGCCACAGCTCCATTTTGGGCTTTTTAAGTGATTAACTGAAGGTTATGGTTTCATAGATTTTCCTGCCTGGATTGGCTTTGAACTGCCAATCCTACCATCCCAGCCTCCAACATAACTAGAATTACAGGCGTGAGCAGCCTGTACCCGGCTGTTAATCTCCTTGAACTTGCTTATCTAACATAGTGAGAGAGAGAGAGTCTGTAGTTTTGTTAGAATTGTCCATTGTTACAGCAAGGATCTGCCTACCTTAGTGTTGGCTCTGGAGCTGGAAGTAAGCGGAGGTTCTGCTTCTTTGGGTACAGTTCTGGGGCTAGGCTAGGCTGTCCGTACCAGGAGTAGCCAAAGGTAGCAGCGTTTGCTGGACTAATGACTCCCCGCTCCCCCGACCCCCCAGGCTCCAAGGGTGGCCACTAACTACTTATTTTTATGTTGGAGGGGCATTCCTGGGGCTTGAACTTGGCCTGGGCACTGTCCCTGAGCTTTTTTGCTCAAGGCTAGGGCTCTACCACTTGAGCCGCAGCGCCATGTCCAGCTTTTTGGTGATTAATTGGAGGTAGCAGTCTCCCAGACTTTCCTGCCAGAGCTGGCTTTGAACTGAGATCCTCAGATCTCAGCCTCCTGAGTAGCTAAGATCACAGGTGTGAGCCACTGGCGCCCGCCTACCACTTAGGCTTTTGAGACGCTCAAAATCAACGCTGTGTGTCCTGGTGGGTCAGGCCAGTTCTTGCGGTTGCATGGTGAATCGAGTGTCTGACACAAGGGAGGCAGAGTGGGCACCAGGGAGGTGGGGCTGGTGGCAAAAGCCACTGGTTTCTTCCTGGGCAGTGCCCAGGGTCAGAGCCCTGTGCTCCTGGAACCAAGACTTCTGCCCTGCGTGGATGCCAGCAGTGACCCCTCAGTGAGGTGCTGCCGGCAGAGCCCGTGGTGCGCCCCCTGACCCCGTCTTGAGTCTGGGTCTGCACTCACGCTCTCGCCAGGCCGAGTGCTGAGCGCACACAGCCCGTCCACCCCACACGGGCTCCACGAGGGACGCGTGCTCCGCCCTTGCTGCGGGACACTCGCGAGTTCCTGTGAACAGCGGCAGCAGAGCTGAGGCGCAGGCAGGCTGGGGCCTCCTCCGGCCCGCCCGCGAGGCTGGCTTTCCACTGCAGCTGCCCGAGCTCTTGCTGGGGGGCGTGTGCAGGGGGAGGGGGTGCTGCTCTGTGGGGCCACAGCCCCGCCACCGTCTGGAAGTAAGTGTTTCCCTTCCATGTGAGGAACCTCCGGTTCTGAGAATAGGAAGTTGGTCGCTCACAAGGAGCAGTGCCAGCATTTCTTCTTTTGCCATGCTGGGATTGGAACCCAGGACCTCTTGCGTGGTGTCCCCTGAGCTAAAGCCAGAGCCGGGTCCGCCTGCCTCAGACCTTTGGTGGTTTCTGCTTTTGGTTTTTAAGAGCTTCAGCACCTTTACCTGGATTTACCGCACGGCCTTGGCAGCGCCTCACCCCTGTCCCCCTGAAGTGACAGCAACTCAGTCTGAAGGAGAGGGGAGCGCACCTGTGTGCTCCTGCTGCTCTTCTTACCTGGTAGCAGAGTCGGGAAACCCCTCCCGGGCTAACTGTGTGACATCAGCTGGAATTGGAAGGCGGTGGCTTCGGTGGCCTGGCTGGCTCTGGACCAGGTGACACCTTTGTTGACTCAGGATCCCTGACCGCTCTCCTTCCACTGAAGACAAAGTTTCAAGTGCAGCGTTCAGAAGCCTCTAGGAGAGGGTTTGGAAGAGCAGCTCGCCCTGAGAGCCCCAGGATGAGTGTTGGGGGTAAGAGCAGAGCAGGGCACTAGCCAGGGGCCTCTCCCTCTCTCCCTCTACCTCTCTCTCTCTCTCCCCCTTCCTCCCTCCCTTCCCCCCCCCCCCCCCCCCCCCCCCCCCCCCCCCCCCCCCCCCCCCCCCCCCCCCCCCCCCCCCCCCCCCCCGTCAAGCTGCTTGTCAGAGTAATCTGTGCTCTGCCCTGCTTTTGAGGTCCTTACCCTCACCTCCCTTTGCTCCTCACTGGGACCCTCGGGCCAACCCCCGCCCCACCTCCCTTGCTGGAGAAGTTGGGGTGGGGTGCTGTGCGTGGGAAGACAGGCCCACTTAGCCTTTTCTTCCTCTGTGGGGACAACTTCCAGCCCGGGTTCAGGCAGTACCAAGGCCCAGCTCTGCCCTGACAGCTCGCCGGGCTCTGGTGTCTCCTCTGCGTGCGACTGTGGCGTGTTCTTGGGGTACAGATGGCCTGTCCGCTGGCTCTCGCCCGTGCTCGCGGGGATTGGAGGCTCAGCCGGTCTCTGGCTGGGAGGCTCCCTGGCCTGCCACTCCTCAGGGAGGCCGTTCAGAGCCCAGGACAGTCAGACTGGTTTTCTCCAGCCATCAGCAGTTTGGCCTGGCTAGGTGAGAGGTAATCTGCCCTGGGGGAGCCCCTCCTAGGACCCTTTACCACAGGGGCCTGGATCACCTGTGCCTGGAAGGACGGAGCTTCCAGATCGGAGCAGGGCAGTGCTGAGGGCCCCGGTGCTCTTGCTGGCAGTGATAGGAAGTTCCCGGAGGAGCCATGTCAGTGGGGGGGCCTGCAGGGGGGCCGGCCAGGCTGGAACGGGAGCCAGGCCTGCCGCTCTCCTGGATGGGCTTCCCCCAAGCAGCCCAGCCCGGCCACCCCCTCCGGGTTGGAGGGTCCCTGGCAGGCCAGAGCACTTCACCCAGCCCCACCCCAGGGAGAAGCCACTGCCAAGATTCTCACAGGCGCTTCAAAGCGTGACTCACACAAGCTCCCACACAGCAGCAGACCCCAGGCTCGCCTCCCGACAGGACACATGAAAGCCGGGAGTTGTTGTGCAACGTGCTCTGATGACCTGGGGTGTTTTTAGTGGGTGACAGGTTGGCAGATTCCGGGGAGTTTAGGAGGAGGCTCCCGGGGCTGGTTTGGTCTGGGATTGGACCATGTGTGTGATGTCCCCCGGGGGGCAGCGCTGCCCCCGAGGGACCGTGCTGAGTGAGAGATGACGATTTGCCGTGCCTCTCCCTCCCACCTGTGCCCTCTTGGGACTTTCAGGTGCTGAGAGAAGAATCCAAGCGAAGGCAGGTGTCCCCAGACCGGCCCTGCCCATCGGCCAGCCCCTGTGCAGCCCGCTGCTGGGGAACAGACCGGCTGTCTTCCCACGCGCATGGCTTGCGCTGGCTTTCTTCCTGTCCACCCCCCCCTGCTCTGTACTCATGTCCGCGTCCTCAAAGGCCGCAAGCCCAGGTGACCTCAGCCTTGGCCCCAGCTGGTCCCAGACCCAACTACTCTGGAGCTTGGGGCCTGTTGAGGGGTATCTCACCGGCTCAGCTGCACGCTCTGCTCATTCTCAGCCTGCAGCCTCCTTGGGGCCGGGGGAGGGGGTGCGCGGGGGGGGGGGGGGGGGGGGGGGGGGGGGGGGGGGGGGGACGGACCTCAGCGCATTTCTAGGAAATACAGATGTGCTTGTGCTGTGCTGCAGCTTGTAGCTTCCGCCTGGCTCCTCCACCACCTCTGGCACTGTGCGTCCTGGTCTGAGCAAGGCCCGTAGGACATTGGCCTTTGGGATGCTCTGGAGGGTGGAAGGCGGCATTGCTAATGAGCACGCTGAGCCAGCTGGGACAGCCGGCCACCCCGATGCAGGAAGAAAGGCTCTCTGAGGGGGCCCAGGGGAGGCCTGGGGTTTTGGGAATGAATGGATGCGCCTTCTGTGCCTGGCGTGCCTGGGGCCAGATCGTGGGACAGTAGTGAGTCCTCCCATTTTGCCAGAACAGAATCTGGCATGTCCTCCCTCCCCTCCCCTCCGTCCGGTGTGCCAAGTCCCGTCTCAGGGGTGAAGGTTGCCCACATGCTCTCAGCTGAGTTAGTGCAGCACGCGGCCAGCACGGCCTGGGAGCTCGGGCTCAGGCTCACGTGGTTAAGTCCTGGCCCTGCTGGGGTGAGCGTGGGGAGCCCTGCCTGCTGGGGTAAGGGGTGGTCACCGGGCTCCCCCTGGCACCTCTGGCACCTCACTGGGCAGTTGCTCTGCTTTGGATTGCAGAGTAGAGTGAAGAGCGCTGACCTCTGACCTCGAGCAACAAGCACCATCCTCCGAGGCAGTTCTGAGCTGCCTTGCCGGTATGGCAACACTATTGGGGCTCCAGTCGCCCCAAGTTTGTAGCGAAGGGTGTTTGCCACACAGTGACGAGACTAGGCCTGGTCACAGGCATTTTCTGACTCCTTGGCTGCCAAGAACCGCGGGGCGGGGCGGGGCGGGCGGGGCGGGCAGCGCGTCTTCTGAGTGTGTCTGGTCTCCCCTGGGCGCCCGCGCTTCGTTTGGGTGATGTTTCCTGGAATCCGAACCAGATGAACTGGGCTGGCGGAGTCCTTCCCAACCCCGGGCTCGCCAGAGCCAGGCTGGGCCAGGTAGACCTGGCTCTCCCAGCGCCCGGAGACAGCTCCCCTTCGCCACCCCTCTGCACCTCGCACCGTTGGCGTCCAGTCTCTGATGCGGGGCGGGGGGCGTGATTCTGAAGGGCTTGATGGGCTCCCGCCGCTCTGTTCCGTCTGTTCGGTCTGTGTCGTGCCTGGCATGAGGAGCAAAGACAACAGGAGGAGGAGAGGGGTCCACTTTGCCTCCGCTTCCTCCGCTCCGGGGTGTGCCTGGTGCTTAGGCTTCCAGCCTTCCTCAGTTCACAGAGGAGGGGGAGGGGAACATCCCTTGCATGGCTGCGACAGACTAGAGACAGACAGAGACTAGAGGCGGACTGACAGACTCACTGTGGGCAAGGCTGGGGCGGGAAGCAGGTGGGGCTGGGCTCTGCTCACCGCCTGCCTCGTGTCCCGCAGGTTGGAGGGACCCATGACACACACTCGGAGGAAGTCCCTGTCCTTGCTGAGTTCTGGCTCTGCGGACCAGCAGGAGCCCCTGCAGATGGAAGGCAGCAGCACGGAGCAGGGGGCCGAGGGCGTGGAGCCCAGCCGGCCGGCGAGCCCCGCGCACCTCACAGGGCGCCGCAAGAACTACCCACTGCGGAAGCGGCCCCCGGTCCCCGAGAAGCCCAAGGCCTGCAAAGTGCTGCTGACCCGCCTGGAAAGCGTGTGCGGCCCCCGCAGCGCCGACGAGGCCGACGAGCTGCCCCCCGACCTGCCCAGGCCCCCCAGCCCCGCCCCGTCCAGCGAGGACACCGGCCTGGTGCAGCCCCGCAAGCGGCGCCTGGCCTCCCTCAACGCGGAGGCCCTCAACAACCTGCTGCTGGAGCGGGACGACGGCAGCCTGGCGGGCACGCGCCGCGCCGGCCGCGGAGACTCCCACCGCGCCCGCGACCGCGCCCCCGGCGGCTGGGCCGCCTCCAAGAAACGACCTCGGCTGGGAGAGGCAAGTCGGGACCTGTCCCCCGAGCCAGCCTCGGAGGAGGGCACCCGCCGAGAGGGAGACCCCGCGCCCAAGAGGCTGGCCAGCCTGAACGCAGCCGCCTTCCTGAAGCTGAGCCGCGAGCGGGAGCTGCCCCTCCGGCCCCCTCGGGCCCCCGCGGAGGCAGAGGGGCGATCCACCGAGCCTCCGGCGCCCAAGGTCCTGCGGCCCAAGTGGGCCAAGGTCAACGGCAAGAACTATCCCAAGGCCCGGCAGGGGGCCGACCCCGGAGAGGCCACCGGCCCGCCCGGCTGGCAGGAGCATCCAGACGAGCCCCGGCCATCTGCGACTCCCTGCGGGCCCCTGAGCAAGGCCCTGGAGAGCCCCGGGGGGCAGCGTCCCCACCTGCCTCTGCTCATGGGTGGGCAGGCAGCCCTGAAGCCGGAGCCTGGGCGTCCGGGCGAGGAATCGCCGGCCCCCAAGCAGGAACTGCACCAGCCCTCCTTCCCTGTACCTCAGCTGTCCCCCCTGCCCATGCCCGGCAACCCCGCCGACTACAGCGGCCTGTGCGCCGGGCCTGAGCTCACGGCGCTGGGCAGCTTCTACCTGTACTGTGGCCAAGACGGGCTGCAGTGTGGGGGCTACTCCCCCTGCCCCATGCTCCCCGAGGGGAAGCTGTCCCCGGTGGCCGCCCCCACCGAGGGGCTCCTGCTGGCCCCAAGCTCAGTGCCTTCAGGCACCCCTTTCCAGCACCCCCCCTGGAGCTCGTCTCGCTACTGCCCCAGCGAGAAGACGGGCGCGAGCGGCTACAGCATCTGCGGCGTGCTGCCCCTGCCTCTCACCCGCATCGGCACGGCCTGTGGCGGCTCACCCTACAGAATGCCTTTCGCAGCAGGTAAGGCGGACCTGCTTGGTGTCCCAGAAGACCCCGGGGCTGGGCTCCGGGCAGGGGCCTCTTTGGAGGCAGAGCGACGGCCTTCAGCAGCAGTGCCCCCTGCGTGGGGCAGCCGTCTCCTCCCCTTGCTGGGATTCCCGACGGTAGACTCTTAAATGCTGAGTTAAACACGGAACTCCCTCCCGTGTCCCCTCGAGGGAAACTGCATTCTTTGGGTTCCGGGACCATCGGGCACTTAGAGGACAGCCGGTGGTTCGGGGGTTGAAATGGTGCCAGCTGCCCTGAGGCCGTGGTGCTGTGGCCATACAGACCTCGAAAGAGAGCCGGTTCCCGGCCGTGGCCTCACCTGGCCAGGCATACACACGCCGAGCGCGGCAAGGCAGCTGGGGATCAGGGCTGCGGCTCTGACGGGACCCAGACACCTGAATGGCTTGTGCCCCGGGGTGCGGCAGCCCGGCCTGCCTCCAGCCGGCCCTCCCAGCTTCTGGGTCCAAACGAGGTGACCCGGGCCACGCTGGCTGGCAGGCCTGTCGCAGCCGCCGCTCCCCTCCCCTCCCCCTCTCATAAGGGGTCTATAAAACAACTTTTATAGACCACTTGGTTCTGGCCAGACTGGTTGTTTCAGGTTCTGGCATGAGTTAGAGATTTAAGAAACGAGAGCAGCTGCTGCTTGGGCCTTTTCCTTTGGGGGCCACTCAGTCCCCACGCCTAGACCCCTGCCCCCCAGCCTCGCCAGCACGGCCACGGGAAGCAGCATGTGCCAAGAACCACCGGGGAGGCCCGAGCCGAGTAATTAGGCACCGAAGCCGGAGCCACACCCCCTCCACTTCTCAGTGTGACCTGGGACAAGTCTTCCCCGCCTCAGTTTCCCCGCCTGCCAAGCAGGAGTCAACAGCCCCTGCGTGGTAGACCGGTACTCGTGAGCTGAGTTCACGTTCCCAGGGAGGCAGCCAGGAAGGGCCGCGTGGCCATCTACAGCTCTGCCTAGCGGTGCAGCCAGGGGCCGCGGGCTTGCCTGAGGCCACGTGGCTGGTAAGTGGCAGGCGTGGGACTCTTCCCGGCCTGTCCGAGTCTGGCCGCCCTGGGGAAGCCGGAGTCAGAGCTGGCCGCTCCCCAAGGTGAAGAAAGTGACCCCCCCCAACAGTCGCTGACAGTTCCCTGTGGAGGGCCCTGTGTTTCCTGTCGCCCCGCTGGCCTTCCGGCCGCCCATGAGGAATTGGGCTGGGGTGTTGGGTGGGGAGGAGGCTCTGGAGGCAGCTGCGCCCCCTACCCCCCCCCGACCTCCCCCCTTCACCTGCCTTCACCCCGCTCTCCTGTCTTCTAGAGGGCTGCAGGTCCCTGGGCCAGCTGGAATTCCCTCTCCCGGAAGCTGGCCACCCAGCCTCACCGGCCCACCCCCTCCTGGGATGCCCTGTCCCCAGCGTGCCCCCTGCGGCCGAGCCTGTTCCCCACATCCAGACACCTACCTCGGAGCCCCAGACGGTAGCCCGCGCCTGCCCTCAGAGTGCCAAGCCTCCCAGCGGTTCCAAGTCGGGCCTGCGCACGGGCGCCGGCTGCAGACACACGGCCCGCAGCAAGGCCGCCCGCAGGCCCAGTCACCCCAAGCAGCCGCGGGCCCAGCGCCCGCGCCCCCGCCGCCGCCGCCGCCGCCGCACCAACGGCTGGGTGCCCGTGGGAGCCGCCTGCGAGAAGGCCGTCTACGTGCTGGTGAGTGCCCACACCCCGCCCGCCCGGGGAGCGGGGACAGGCCCCTCCACGCTGCAAGGACCCTGGCAGGATGGAAAGAAGGTCAGCTGAAATGGCTAATACGTAGCCCAGCCCAGCCTTGAGCCCGGGATTCGCAACCGCAGTCCCCCAAGGGCTGGGACGCAGGCGTGTGCCGCCGCACCCACCGCTTCTTAAATTTGACCCCAGAGTGAAGCTAAGCACCCGGTGTGTTAGTCCTGGAGTCCCCAGCGCTGTCCCCCGTGATGAGGGTCCCTAGTCCTATCGTTACCCCCCACTTACGAAGGAAGAAGCCGAGACTTGGCGGCAGGGCACACAATTTGTCTAAGGCTGAGCCATTTAAAGTGGCGGCTTAAGGTTCCAGCGCGGCTGTCCCGTTGGAGCAGGCGCGCTTCGCTGGTGCTGCCGTGCTTGGAGAGACCCGCCGCCAGGGAGTGGAGCGGAACAGAGCTTTGCGCTGTTTTCCCACCCTGTTCCCGGTCCCGTTCCATTCCTATTGCGCCCCCCGTCCTTGCTCAAAGCCGGGCTTAAAAGGTCCAGTGCTTAGACATGAAGAGTGGTTAGACCTCCCTCCCTCCCTTCCTTCCTGTCTTCCTTCTTTCCTTCTACTCCTCCCTCCCTTCCTCCTCCCCCCCCCCTTTTCCCCTTCACTGCACGTTGTGCTGTGAAAGCCCAGTGGTGGTGTGGGTTCGTCTTCTAGGATGAGCCGGAACCAGCCATCCGGAAGAGCTACCAGGCAGTCGAGCGGCATGGGGAGACCATCCGCGTCCGGGACACCGTCCTCCTCAAGTCAGGCCCAAGAAAGACATCCACACCTTATGTGGCCAAGATCTCTGCCCTCTGGGAGAACCCCGATTCAGGTACCCCTCCCTCAGGCCAGGGGCTCTGAGCCGTGGTCAGCCCGTGCCTGCAGCTCGGCGCGGCACAGGCCCCCTCTGTTCCCGGCAGCGTCTGCCTTCCCCTCCGCCTGCGGCTGTGCGCCCTAGAGGCTGTGCCAGGCTTGAAGGCTGGGTTGGATCCATCTATTCGCCTTCTACCCCCAGTGCCTGGGCACCTGTCAGCGCCCTCTCCCCGGTGCCCTCCGGGCCACTGAATGCTTGGCTAGGGCTGGAGGTGCGGGGGCTACGGCCCGCAGAATCCAGGCACGGAGGTTGGTCTAGCCTCGCGGGCAGGCAGCCAGCCAACCTCTCTGCCTGCTCCGGGCACCTGGGGTTGCCAGCTCTAGCCATGATCTCTTCTCTTGTCCCCCAGGGGAGCTGATGATGAGCCTCCTGTGGTATTACCGGCCTGAGCACTTACAGGGGGGCCGCAGCCCCAGCATGCACGAGGTGAGCTGCCTGGCGGGGTGCAAAACCATGTGTAGTAGCCCTGAACAGTGGTATGTGGGTGAGGACAGCCATGAGATGGTATTTTCCTGGGTTCTCCAAGACCTCGAGAACCTAGGGAAGGGCCTGGAGTTTTCCTGGACACCGCCAGATTCACATCTCAAAGGGAACAATGACCTAAAGAGACATATTCAGCACCCCTGGAGGGCTGGGGGTGCCAAAATGGAAGTGATGGCTCCCAGCTGTGGGCAGGGAGGAGCAGCTGTTCATCTACCCACGGCACCCCTGAAAGCTAACGGCCTTCCAGGCCCACCTTTTGTTTCCTCTCCTCTCGTGGGGTCTGCATCTAGTGGGAAGATGGGGGACAATTTGCATTTCCTTCTCTGGCCGGGGGGTGGACAGCCAGGGTGGAGACGTGGGCCCGCTGGAGTCATTCTACCCAGTGTGAGCCGTTAAACGGAGCCCAGGAGGAACGGCCGTGCCACGGGGGCGGGGCGCTCTTCCCGGCTCCCATACCCATGCCCCTGCTGTCTCCTTTTGAGCCTTTGCAGAATGAAGTGTTTGCGTCACGCCATCAGGATCAGAATAGCGTGGCCTGCATCGAGGAGAAGTGCTACGTGCTCACCTTTGCCGAGTACTGCAGGTGGGTGGTGTCTGCTGTCCTGGCCCGGAGGACCCATTCGCTCACGCACTTACAGCGCTCGGGCCGGCAACGTGGCCTAGTGGTGGTGTGCTTGCCTAGCATGCATGAAGCCCTCAGTACCATCAAAACAAAAAGCTAGAAGTGGCATAGTGCTCGTTTTGAGCAAAAGAAGCCCAGGGACAGTGCCCAGGCCCTGAGTTCAAGCCCCAGGACTGGACCCCCCCCCCAAAAAAAAATAATTTTATTACCTACAATCTGCTGCTGCCATTTGATTTGTTTTTGTGGTGGACCTGGGGCTTGAACTCAGGTCTGGGATCTGTCCCTGAACTACTTTTGCTCACGGGTAGCGCTCTACTACTTGAACCACAGCACTACTCCCAGTTTTCTGGTGGTTTATTGGAGTTAAGAGTCTCACGGACTGGGCTGGGAAGGTGGCTCAGTGGTAGAGCGCTTGCCTTACATGCCTGAGGCCCTGGGTTCGATTCCTCAGCACCACATAAGCATTAAAAAAAAGCCAGAAGTGGCGCTGTGGCTCAAGTGGTAGAGTGCTAGCCTTGAGCTGAAGAGCTGAGGGACAGCGTCCAGAGTTCAGGCCCCACGACCGGACCAAAAAAGTCTCACAGACTTTCCTGCCTGGGCTGGCTTTGAACTGCGATCCTCATATCTCAGCCTCCCGAGTAGCTAGGATTCTAGGTGTGAGCCACCGGTGCCTGGCTCTGACCTTTTTCTTTAAGACAACATGTACCCACCTACCCCCTTATGGGAGATGGCAATGATCAGTAGGCGGCTGGTGGAGGTGGAGGGAAGCCCCCGAGAGGTGCACTTGCAGGCAGGGACCGGCTGGGAGCAGCACCGCCCCGGGGTGCAGGGCGGGGAAGGGGATCTGTCTCCCTGCGAAGATGGCTGGGGTAAAGACAGTGCGTGGTCTGTCGCTGCAGATTCTGTGCCATGGCCAAGCGCCGGGGCGAGGGCCTTCCCAGCCGGAAGACGGCGCTGGTGCCCCCATCCTCGGACTACTCGACTCCGCCACACCGCACCGTGCCCGAGGACACAGACCCAGAGCTGGTGTTCCTCTGCCGCCATGTCTATGACTTCCGCCATGGCCGCATCCTCAAGAACCCTCAGTAGCGTCCTCATGCCCACACGGGGGGGGGGGGGGCTGCCCTCGGGCAAGTGGGGCTGGGGGTACTGCTTGAAGCACAGCACTTGGTTTAAGGGGCCACGGGGTCCTGAGGTTGCCGGCCTGTGGTTTTCCTGGGAGGGGGTGGGAGGGCAGGGCCCCCCGTGGGTTCTGGGTCTTGAGGGGAGGAGGGAGAGGCCAGGTACAAAATCAGCGCCCTCAGCTTGGCCCAGGGTGCCTCTCTGCCGTGCCCTGGGTGGAGACTCCTGAAGACTCAGCCTTCCCTGAGGCTGGGCCAAGGCTGAGCGACATGCACCAAGGAAGGGTAGGGGCGAGGGGGAAGGGGAAGGCCCTTCCAGAACCAGACAGACCCTTCTGCGGCCTCCCCGCCCCACCCCCCACCCCGGCCCTCCCAGGGGAGCGGAGCCAGCTTTACCTCACCCACTGTGACCCTCTGCTTCCTGTCAGCCTGGATCAGGCGCTCCCCATCCTAGCGCAGCTCTGGGCTTGTTCTTCGCAGCGTGGAGAGCCACAGTCCAGCTTCCAGAGCGTCGACTTCCTCTTCCTGGACTCGGGGCCTTGCCCTCGCTTCGCTCCTTTGCCCCTGCGGTAGCCACTGGCGCTGGGTCCACGTGACCCGGCCCTGGAAGTCCCGGCCGGCCGGCTGTGGCAGCAAGCCTCCTGTCTGCCTCTCTGGAGGGACACGCAGCAGGTCTGGCTTCGCAGAAGGTTGCCTGGTGGACTTGGGATTCGTCCTTGTGTCCGGGAGGGCTTGGGGGCAGGGGCAAGGAGAATTGCTACCTGATTCGTTGAAGATTTTTCCTCTTGCCTTACACTTGGAGGTCCTGGGAAACCTCCTGCAGAACTTCACGCGGGACTCTCGAAGCCACACCCACCCGAAATCAAAACCAAAGGAGTGCTGTGGCTCCCCTTGGCGGTTCCCCTTCCCCTAGTCTTTTGTAGATTGCACTAATTCCCATCCCAGTGAGAATCAACACTGTATCAGTCCACAGACCTGCTGAGCTGCGGCCACTCGCTGGGAGCTGAGGACCTGCATTTTCACTTTGTTCTTGCTGCCCAGAGGCCCCGTTAATCTTGACTGGTTAGGACGCCCACCACCCTGTCGTCCTCCCCTGGCCTAGGTAGGCCCTGGCCCCGGCTCTCTCTCGAGAGGGGCTGGAGGCCTGATTATTTCCTGTTTGTACCAAAGAAGAGCATGGTGAGGAGAGGAGTGGGGGCTGTGGCTTGGGCCGGGTGTCGGGAAACTGGTTACTCATCCACCCCAAAACAGAAGCCAAGGAGAGTGGCACTGGCTCCTCGGGAGGGGGGACGCGGGCCCAGCGGGCTGGGAGGTGGCACTGGGTGAAGATAGTCTGGCAGGGGCGCAGAGGGAGGTGGAAGAATCCTGGGGGTGCCCCCAGTGGCCCTGGAGCCCTGCTCTGATCCTTAGAAACGGGTTGTTCCAGATTGGTCATCGGGTTGGGGAGGCCAGAGGGCTTCCGCGCCTGGCGGGAAAGGCCTTGGGTCTCTGTACTGAATAAGCTGTTCAGAGCAAGTGGGGGCCAGCTGGAAGAAGTGGGGGGCAGTAAGGGGTTGGTGTGGTGGCCAGGGGAGCCCTGGAGGGCCAGCCCTGGGGCTTTCCTGTTTCCGGGGTTTGCTGAGGCCTCCCTCCCCCTTAGAAGGGTTCCAGGACCCCCCCCCCATGGGAGGCAGGGGCTGCTGCCCAGAATTTAACGCTTTTAAAACTCTTAGATGTGGAAATATTTTTTCGAACCTGAAAATGCAGCTGGTAGAATTTCGATGGAAGCATAATCCACGTAAACTCTATTTTAGTTGATATTTTGTAAAATGCACTTTTTGTGTGTGTCGATCCTGGTTTCCCAGATCTGTATTTCAGTGTTTACAAGGGAGGGCCACCTTTCCTCACTTCCCTTTTGACAGAGATTAGAAGTACTTCTTTAAGAAAAAAGTAAATTTGAGAAATTGTATTGATCTAGAAAAGGATGATTTCTTGTGTGTCCTGTCTTTTTTTTTGGGGGGGGCATGTAAACATAGGGACATTCACCGTTCTTATTTCAGGGGTCCTCATGATTACCTTTGTAGTTGCTCACTGAGGGCAAAAAAAAGGAGGCTGGAAGTTGAAATTGACTTTTTATTTTTTTTGGTCGGTCGTGGGCCTTGAACTCTGGACTCTCTACTACTTGAGCCACAGCATCACTTCCAGTTTTCTAGTGGTTTATTGGAGATAAGCGTCTCACAGACTTTCCTGCCTGGGCTGGCTTTGAACTGTGATCCTCAAATCTCAGCCTCCTAAGTAGCTAGGATTACAGGCGTGAGCCACGACGTCTGGCAAAATCCAATCTCTCTCTCTCTTTGTGTGTCTGGCAAAATCCAATCTCTCTCTCTCTTTGTGTGTGTGTGTGTTGGTTGGTTGGTTGTGGGGCTTGAACTCTGGGCTTGGGCACTGTCCCTGCGCTCTTCAGCTCAAGGCAAGTGCTCTATGTTTGAGCCACAGCACCACTTCCTGAAATTGATTTCTTGATGCCTGCCAGCCACTGGCTGAGGGCCTTGGGCTCCCTGCCTCCCACCCCCCATCAGGGTTCTGAGCAGGAGCTTAGCTCCCAAGTGGGTGCTTGGAAAATGCTGCATGGTCACCTTGGGGTACTGGTGGGCAAGCTGAGCGGCACTGTTCTGTGACTGGCTGGGCCCCTGTGTCAGGCCAGCCCAAAGCTTTGGTGTGGGGCCCAGTGAAGCTGGGGGGCTCCTGGGCGGCGGCACACAGCTGCCCAGCCCTGGAGATCTTTCCATAGAGGTCACTACTGGCCTGAGCCCCACTGTGCACCGTGGACCCACCGCAGCACCGCCATCCGGAGTCCATGAAGATAGGTGGTCAGCTATCACACAGGACCTGGTCAGGATGAGCCTGCCCCAGGGCGCCCGAGTTAGACTGCCTCCCTGCTGGCAGAGCAGGTGGCCAAACTGTCAAAAACAGAAGGGATGCAGCGGACAACCCTAACCCCAGAAATCCTCCATCGGATGGGTCCTGCCAGCTGGAGGTGTGTACGGAGGTGCAGGTCGTCCACACGCAGCTGTTGGGAGCCTTTTCTGGGGAGCTGACGGCCGGGAGCTTCCCCCTTATTTTCCCAGTTCACTGCGCTGCTCATGCTTTTGTGGTGGCCGGGGTGCCGGTGAGCCCTGGCCCATCCTGAGACCGGCCTGCCTGCCTCCCATCCATGCGGGTGGGGCTCCATTCATCCCTCAAGGATGATGGCTACACATGAAGGTTTTCGGGGCTGGGAAGGGGGCTCCTTGGTAGAGCGCTTGCCTCGCACGCACGAAGCCCTGAAGTGGCGGAGAGGCTCAGGGACAACGCCCGGGCCCTGAGTTCAAGCCCCAGGGCTGGCAAGGAAGAAGTGAGCGTCTTAGACCATGCCAGCCGCACCGGCTTCCCGGGCCCCGGGCTGCGGGGCGGTGGGAGACGCCGAGCCCGCCGGGCAGGCACCTGCCC